CCAAAAATCGACATGGACTTCCCAGACAACCCAATAAATAAGCAAGGTATATAAAAGGGCTTCTCCAATTTTGTGGATATCAGTTTTCTTTTTTTTCAGTGAAATATTATTTCAATGAAAGAAATGGAGCGCGAGCGTCTGAAGTCCTGAAAGATTCCAAAGGTAGAAACGTTTCCTTTTAATACGCGGAGAATTCTAAGGCGTCTGCGAATGGTCGGCCTTCCATGAGATTCCATGTAAGACTGACTTTACGAGATAAGGCGGAATTCCCGGATGCTAAGAGACCCTCCTACACGAGCTCCTTATTTGTTACGACTAGTGTAGGGGCGCATCCACCGGGATGAAACGGTCTCAGATCAAGTCGGCAACTTTGTCCCCAGGCTTCGAGGCTGTGTGGTATTTAACGTTGTGCGGCGAAATTTATGCTACGACGTAAGCACGTCGCGTCGCGAGAGCTGAAGCGTCTTCGAAATTATTGTGTCGCCACGTAGGTTACCGTATTAGGCGCGGGAATTGCAAATATCGTTGGGAATGCAACAGGGAGTTAATAACAAATGACTGACACGATGACGGTGCAGTAATTAAAATTACACGCACCCTTCATTAGAGGGCGGTAAGCAAATTTGTACATGCATATGAATGTGAACAAAATATGTAAATTTCTATGTTACTGATAATTAAAAATTTACGTATTTAATAACCAATGTAATATGAAGAGGACCAACCATTCGAACAACCGTTTTCGTGTTACATTGACTCCTAAAGGTATGCTAGAAAAAATGGTACACCTTCGAGAGGGTTGAAGTTTTTGAACACTTTTGGGAGTTTGGGGTTCTGAATAGTAATAGAAACAACCCTCCATCGGTCGATTTAATACGCTGCCCCTTTGGTGGCTCGTACGTCGTCGATCTAATCCCCTTAGGCGTTAAATTGTGGTCTTAGAACTTAGCGAAGTGCCTCGTAAGTTTAGCTGCCTTGGGAAACGCATATCCTCTCTCATCCCTTAGTGAATTTCATCCCTTTCCCCGGTGCTTCGTATTCTGTCCCCCGGGCATAGTCATCGTTCGTTTTATCGACTATAAATCTTGCCAATTTTTCCCGTAAAATGACCTTCCGCTAAATGTGATTTCTCCATTATAAAATCTTTATACTTGCCATACATTGCCCGAAAAATTATGTAACATTTCAACTATATTATTTGGCCAGGAATAATGAATTATAGTGCAAAATGAAACTAATGGAACTTAGATTATTTTTCTTGCTCCTCTTGTGAAAACTATTGTAATGCATTTACTATTTACTTGGCACACAAATTCAAAATTAAAAGATCGATCGACGCGAGGTGTGACGGGTCGCGAATAAAATGTAAAAAGGGAAGTCGTTAGAGGGTAAGTGCTTTTTTTATAACCTAAAGCGATAACGCTCCGTATTCGCTCCCTTCACTCGAAACCGTTATACGTTCCATAAAGAAGGAAAGTCGTACCTTCGATAATGAAAAATGAAATCCACGGTCTGCCTAGTTCTTTTTAGTGTCCTGAAAAAACGTCGAATCCCTCCAATTTTATACTTCAGTTCAAGCATTTCTGACCCTTTTTTATTGGGAGAAATAAAATTAGTTAAATTGATTTCCTAATCTAGATCGTAAATACATATATCATGAATCCTTTATATTTATACCGGGGGTCAGTACCTGTGCCTGATAAACGGATCCTCGCACAACTGATCGCGGAACTTCATCTTCAAGCTGACTCAGTCGATAGCCATAAGAACGACAACTGGTATTGTACAACGAATAACGTTTATCTTAATTTCATATTATGATATATATTATAATATAATAGGCGCGCTTTAACGCTTTAAAGTCGTAAGAACGTAATATCTGTACTAGTAACACTGTTGGAGATTCATATTCTAACGAATCCACCATGAGCCGACCAAGAAAGAGAATGCAAAGACAAGCCCTCTCCATTTTTAAATTTTATCGAAAAAAGTACTTGGAGTAAAATTTTAATCACGAGCAATTGCAAGGAAGATTCCTCTTGGGTTCTGTATTACTGGTGAAGTCCAAGTATACCAATCAGTCCACCTTCGAGACACGAGCGACCTCCCTTAATCGAGATAAATTCAGTGGAAGAATGAAAATTCGGCGCGACGCACAATCGCGGATGAAGCACACTGTAAACAAGATCTTTGCAATTAAAGTGAAGCACTCCACGGATAAAGTTGAAGGCAAACGAGAAAAGTTCTCGAGTGTTGTTGGTTTAGGTATCATCCCCGTGGCTGTCGAAAGTTACGAATGTACCAATTTGCTTGGGCAGAAACTTCGCAATTACGTTTAGCCGTGGAGGGTCGCCTTTGTAAACTCATCTGCTGAAAGTACAATGATTAAAAACACATTCAAAGAAGCCCCCACTGTTAACGTCGTGCGCTTGTTTCCTGATTACTCGACGCTCAAGTTTATCAATCACGTTAAACACTGTAACGGTGCAGCGACTTCCTGATAAATTCGTGTATCGCCGTCTGTTCTTCAACGTTTGTATTTTTCATTGCAGAACGCGTAATTAATAGCGTCAAGGTAAACCGTTGTTTCTGCAGATCAGTGGAGAAAGATTACGACAACGTAAACGAACGGCTGCGAAACGGGAGAACCGATGTTTCTTTAAACGTTCTTGGCTGCAACTTCTGCAAACAATAATACCATGATACCCCTGTTTCATTTTTTGCCTCCGTTTGTCAGCCTTTTGCTCGACTTTTACTCGGTGTTTAACTTCATCAAACGATTAAATCTGCCTTTGTCAGCCTGCGCTGCCTTCCTGCAATTTTCATCTCTTTTGTACTTGCTTTGTTCCGTTTCGCAATTCGAAATCATTTCCAATTCCACCACGGTTAATAGAAAGAAAGGCAAGAATAAACGTATCATTGAAAAATAGAATCGTTGAGCAAGGAGGAGGAGGAGGAGGGCGAAATTATTAAAGAATAAGTCAGGAAGGGTAAATACAGGTCTGTTAACGATCGTCGCGTACACCTTTATCAGCGAGGTTGGTCCACCCCTACGAAGTCGATATCTGGTAAAGACACGAACGAGTTTATACGACGTCTGTTTTTCCTCGTCTAGGGTGAAATTGATATCGATATCATCCGACTGCGCCATCGAATTCGCTCGAGGCACTGCTTCCGTCTCGTAATGGGGTTTTGATAGTAACTGGTCGAGAGGTATCAACCCTCGTCATGGGAATAATTTCCTCGTCGTATCTGTATCGTGCTCGCTGCACCTCCCGCATTAAGATGCGATACGTTATCGCCGGTTGGCACGTTGTTACGCTTTACCGATTCTCTGTTCGCCCTTTCCAATGCAAATTGTCGGGGTGAGAAAAGTATGTACATTCTCATCGACTACTGCATCGATATATATATATATTAACCAAACCTGAGCACTTTTGAAATCAATTATTCAATGGATAAAGATAAAATTTTCTGTGAAAAATAAACTAATTTTGAAAAAGACTCAATCGTCAGGGGTCAGAAGCGATCATGGTTTGTTTGTTCGTTAATTGTTCAAAGTCCGAAGAAGTCCCAGGACGAAAACTGGAAAATTTGTAGAGAACAAAGCCGTGCAACTGAAACATAGCACGGTGCTTTGAATTCCCGTGGATATTGAATACGCGTTGTGACGAATGTTACGCGAAATCAGCTTGCAGCGCGCGGCTGCAAAGCACAACGTGCTCCGTGACACCTATATTGCTGCCATAAATCTAGCTAGGCGGTTAAACGTTAACCCAGCGACCGCCTATACTTCCGACATTGGTCTGCCTCCGTGTCCGATAAAATGGTCTGTCTATACAGTCCCTGATATTATTTACACCGATTTAATGAAGCGTAACGGAGTTACGACCTTCCATGCGAGATCGCGCTTTTATCTGAAAAAAGAGGAGTGGTTCGCTATCACGCGGATAATTCAAGTAACCCGGCGCTATAAAACTGTTTACAACCTTGTGGTGATCTTATACACCAGTAACAAGTTCCTTTGGCATACTATTGGTACTTTTACGATGCGATGTTGGGATTTTCTAATGTATAAATCAGTATTAAATTAAGAATATTTACAATTTTCATTTTAACGCTTGGAGTATAAAGTCAACAAACAAAAAATTCAATATATAATCTATAAGAGCAATTAGTGCAAATATAAAGCCCATAATGAATTTATTCACACCGTTTGGATCCACTGATCCTGATTTATTTTGACGGAATAACAATACCATTCGATGATATTCGATCGAAATTTACTTGTCGACGACATCCAGCGGTCCGCTTTTCACAGATTTTTTTTATAGGTGCAATGGCGCGGATGGCCATAGACCAAATTTCAGGGTATAAATCTCGTCGCGTTGCAGAGACGGGATAGCAGAGTGGAAAATTGGATGACGATGTGGTCGGTTCACGGGTGAATCCTGCGTCAGTTCTTTCTCCTACTACAAATAAAATACGTTTCGGGACATTTGGCACGAAATGACCACGAAATTTTGACGTAGAATATGTGATAGTTGACAAAATATTCATTAATGTCGTGATGTCAATGATATGTCATCATTTTGGTAGGAAAATTACAAAATTGGTGTATTATGTGTTTACATAAATGAAGTTCCATTTTTAATGATTCTTCTGTCCATGAATGTCCAATATGAAGTAACTTTTAAATCATGTTAAAAAAAAAGACAAGGATAACAAGACACTGCATATAAAGCGCGTTAGAATAATTTATCTAGGATTCAAGGTAAACTTGGACAGTTGCATACCGTGAGATCCAAGTGCACCTTTAAATATTTCAACCAACATAATTACTCGATGAACCTTGCTTCGGCGTAAGGAACAAGAAACCCTCTGTTTTTAAATCCGAAAAAGGAGGTCGAGACTAATTACACAAATGCATTTTTTATTACATACTTTCATATTGTTCTCTGCATTCGTAGCTTGTTCTTATATAGTTTTCTCTGTTGCAGAGTCACGACAGCTGGCAAGGACACGACGGCGACCAGGTGAGCATTCACAGCTTACGTTGCTGACATTGCTTTGCTTTCGCTTAAATCGTGTTGCCTTTGTTCTTTCCTCTTTTCTGACATCATGCGCTTTAATTGTATCACTGGTACCTGTTGGTTTCGTTTTATGATCTGTCATGTACTCCTCTCAATTCGAATGACAACCAACTTTTACATATTTTTTAACACGTTGCGTGACGAGGATCTATGATTATTCTTAACATTCGTTCAAACTATTACGTAAATAAATCTGAAAAATTTTTTATTTGAAGAATCGATCACGGATGACGTCACTCGACGAGTTAATAACTGCATGTAATGAATATCAATTTAAAAATGCACAATGTAATTTGTAGTCAGAAATGGGTAAAATTCTTATTTTACCATCAAACTGTTATCAAACTTCGAATAACGAAGAACTTTTTAACAATTAGCCAATGTATTAATATTAGAATTTTGCCGATCTTTTTGTGTGTTGCATGGGTTTGTGTTCATGTGCCTCGATGTATCCGAATTATCAACGAAAATAAACGCAAATGGTATCGCCTCCACAAATGATAAGAAAAAGAAACGAACCCGAAAATGTCTTTTCAACGATGGAAATCGTCCCCAGTGGTATCGGCACAAGTTACACAGAAATGATCAAACCAGAGTAACCGCTAGGAACGACGGAAGAGAAAGAGTTCGCGGGGGTGCGAAAGCAATTTGCGCGACAGTGATGCATGCGATTCGAGTTCTTACCATCTGGTTACGCGGTCGCAAGGCTCACTCTATCTCTTCGTTATTAAGGACGTTGCGGTTTAATGACGCTGGAACGACTGCTGCATCATGGTTGCAACGTTCCACGTTAAGTACTAGCGATTAGTCTACATAGTACCAACGCCTGTGAAAATATTTGCCAGTGCGAGGAATTTCCTTTGCGATGCCTCTTAGGCATTAATCGACGCTCGTTCGCGTTCCTGGAATTTACAATAAATTTAACTCGAGTTTTCTATTTTTCTTTATATAGAATTCTATCAGGTTTTTCTTTATCGGGATTTTATCCTCCGAAGGCTCACGTTTCACCTCGACACGAATTCTTAATTCCGAGCGTACAATACGCTTTATAAAAAATTTCATACGCCGTTCGGATTGAGCAAGCAAAACTGGAAGGACATTTCCGCAAGACTGAGGCATCGCTTGGTAATTCAGGACCCTCGTGGAACGCTTTTTACGAGGAACGAAAGACGGTAGAGGCACTTAACAATGAAGGCTGGTTGAATGAGATTTAGTGTACCGTCTAATCGGGTTTACTCTCGCCTTAGGGCTCTGTCCCACGCTGATACGCCAATACAGTCTCAGTCTACGGGGGTGGAGGGGACCGCGGTGTGGGTAAAGAGTAAGAGGAAGGAAACTGAAGAAAACTGCGAGAGACCAAGTGGTTAGGGAACGCGCGCCGTGAATTTAAAAAGATTCGTTAAACCTTGATACCGCTATAGACTCCCTATCCGTGGAACTCTTTGTTAAGAAGTTCGAACGCTCCCCCCATTTTCGTAATGCTTTCCTGAGATTTATCTCGGTAAGAAGATTTGCCCAGACCGTGTCGGAACATCGGAGGAAGATGAGCGACTAATCGGTTTTGTGTCGTTTCGATTCCTCGCTGATCGAATAATTAATAATGACTCCACATTAACGAGACGTGCTTTCTTAAGAGACGTTAGTCTATGTGTTAGTCACTCTTTTGATGGCTGAAAATTAAGGAAATATACCATGAATTTGTTTTTGTACTAAACCATCTAAAATGAAAAATTTTACAACTCTGAACAGCTGTAAATACAGAAATGAGTTGCAACGTGTTCATCGACCAGTAGTTCCACCTTTAACAAAATAAAACGACGAATCTAATAGCGCTATATCTTATCGAACGACAGAACAACCTACTACAGCCTCGTTATTTTCAATACCTTTCAATTAAAATACAATAAACTGCCTGCTATTTGAAATAATATTTCAGTTGAGGTATGACTATTTCCACAACAGTTTGTATCTTACGAAATATCCATTCCTCTCCGTTTTATTCAACTATTTGTTATACATGAGAGTTTAGAGGCGATCCAATAAAGGATATATTCGCAGCGATGACGCCCAGTGAATTTCAATATTCGAGATCTTCATGTATCGTTCCGAGTGGGTCTCGAAGAATCGAGTTTCGGTCGATGGTTCTTGCCATAGACACTCGAGCTATACCGTTCCTCGGTAGCGTCTTCCCTGGAGAGGTTCTGTTTCATCCTCCATCTTCTTGTTTCGAATATCCACAATACGTCACCCGCCACGCCATCCTTTCGAAGGGTTTTGTTCTCTTTGTACCGATACGTGGCGGATCACTCTTCTTCCCTTTCTTTGTTCACGACGAACAATTTTGCGCCGAGATTCCCCCTAGTCGCGAAAAACTCTCTTAAACCAAACCCTTCAGTCGAGCATTTTCTTCTGCTCCTTTCTTTACGCCTCAGTTTTACCGTCTTGCCTAGGTATCTCCGACTCTATTAGGGTGAGCATGATTTTCTTCTTTTTTCCCGTGGAGAAAGAAAGGTGTACCGATGCACGAAATTATTGCCGTATGTCAAGGACGAGCTTGGTACAGAGGGAAATAAAAATGTGTCTCAGGTTGCAAATATGCTTTCGTAATGTTCCGTGAATCATCTCAGAACCTTGTTTTGATACGAGTACACGAGACGACGTGACGAACATTTTTACTGTTACCTCGTGAGGTGATCAACTGATATCACAGAAAGGACTGGAACCAAAAGCGAGATGATAGGAGAGGACAAATCTTTGATAAATAATTGTGAAGGGTCCATTGAACACTCGTACATTGATATGATGATAAGTGTTGCGTGGCGTTCATCACGCTGTTAAAATTTCTACCGAATTGAATACTCGTTTCAAGCTTTCTCCATTTTTCTCGACTGTTCAGCCATCGATCCCCCAATTATTCGAAGCGTTCTCCGATATTACTCACCAAGAAAATTGAATTGAATTCGTTGCGTTATGCTGATATTTCGTACTGCCTGTTTCCCTGCACCAACGCAACTCTTTCGGGAAATCACGCCACGTGGATCCCTAATAATTTTCTTGTCCGATGGTGGGAGCACGCTGAAGGGTTCGTGTAGGTAAAATACAGAGGCCAAACGAAATCTCGCCACGATTTGCGGACGTGAGCTCCCCCGGGAATTGTCGATCGCGCGTGCAGATCGGATTGCTGCGCTGGGCTTCGTCGAATCCGAATGAAATCGCCTTCGCTGAGATTTATGTGCTGCGCCGTGGACGAATCTGAACGCGTCGTCCGAGACGTCAAATATTTCCATAATAACGGACTTGAAAAATACGTAAAACGTGATGTTTTCGGGCTGGAGATATCGTCCACGAATATTTCGTTTTATTGGAAAAGATTGCCTCGCGTGGACAGCGCTGATAAATCGCTACGATTTACACCGTAATGAGTAAAGTTTTATTCGAATGTAGATATATTTATTCATTATATTAAATTTGTATTTATTCGTCACGAAACTGACAAATATTCTCAAAAAATGAAATGTTCGGGCAGTGATCACAACGAGCCAGTTCGTTCACTGTTGTAACACGGTGTGCAGTCAGTCAGGGGCTATGGTAACTTTCATTATGTCAGTACAATTCTTGTAATTATTGTTTCAACGCTTGAACTTGTATATAATTACACTTGAGGGTTTACCATGATACGATTTTTTTTATCAATTTCTCAAGAAGTAGGTACACACTAACAATGGTTCTCAAGTACAAGCTTCTTAACCCTTTCTTTTTGTGAGAAAGACTAATTTACCCTTAATTATGAAGAAATGTAACTACTAATTGGATGACATATCGAACTAGATAGATATGGTTGCCGGTCCGCCCGATGAAGCCTATAATCCGAATGTTAAAAAAATATTTAATAAATCAACGCACGCACGGAATAAAGCCATTCGTCGAAGGGCTTTCCCGCATCGATGCGGATCGGGAGATTTACTTGTAAATACATTCTGGCCACGGCTTTGTTTCTCTTGAAACGGTGGTCCGTTTTCAGAGTATTAAAAAAACTCGGAAATCCTCTTCACGCGCGATGTTTCGCAGTAACTAACACGGGAAACAGGGCTCCGTGCCAATTACCTTAACTCAACCCCCTTTTACAGCTTTATCACCGCTTTCATTCTTTTCCCTCTCATTTTCTGCCTGTCCTCCTCTCGTACGCGCATTGCTCTACACTTGTCCCTTATTTTTTCAGTCTCTTTTCTCCTCGATGAGCATCCACGACTCCCGCCGCAAATGAGCCACTCCAGTTATGAGAGATTAGCCTAGGGTGTTCGGCAGCTAACTTCCTGCCCTTTCCCTCTTCTTTTTTTTTGCGTGCGTGTGTGTGTTGTTGTTTTTTTTTCTCTCATTACTAGGGTCGTACGGAAGGCAGGGACTGCTGAGATTCAACCGCGGGCGAACGAATCCTGAAAAAATGCGGGAACGAAATGGAACAGCTCGTGACGTTCGGTCCCGGGCACGCATTAATTAAGCTCCAACATCCTACTCGTCATTACTCCGCGACATCCCGTTGTGTTCGATGCAATAAAGCACCATACCAATTGTTTTGCGTTTCTATTATTTTCTTTTGTTCACACGCACCTTCGCCATTCCCCAGTCTCCCGTCGACGATCCTCCGTAACACGTGTTTGAAATAGGAGATACAGGGTTAATTAGGGTGCAGATGCTGCAGAAATAGTATACTGATACTGAGTATATTTTCAGCTTAAACAAAATTAAATCTTTGTAACATTAATTTAGATCGCGTGAATGATACGATCGTGTTACTTTTCCGAATGGCTGCAATTTCGCTTGCTTCGTGTCGCAACTCGCCTTATGCGAGTGAGACAAAGTACACACTCGAGATTGCGAACGACAAGTGGTTTATCGACGGAGTTTACGGTACAGACACTCCAATACATAGGTGTCACTTGTAG